AGATAGACAGATAGATAGATATGTCGTTTCTGAAGTATAAATATTTAGTCTTAGTTCGATAACGGTCTTTTACTGTTTCAAATCCTGCCGGCTATCGGGCTGCATAGCGTTACGCAGGCAATGGACGTAGTACACTCTATAATAGATATAATTCTAATATGAGTACTTACACAAAACAGAGGTGGTAAAAGAATACAAATACCTCATTATGTGCATCATTTCTTCTAACCCACTTCGCAATAACTACGTATTACTGAAAACTTATCGGAAGTTCATAACAGCTGAATTCTATTGTATATAATATCTTCACAAAGATAGTAGCTGTGAATGATATCCTTATTCTTCATAATAATAATACGGCAATTAGCTACCTGACTTTACCACTCATTGGCAATCAAAATCAGGAGTTAGCATTCGTCTCCTACAATTTTTCGCGAGATCCACTTTTAGAAATATGGCGAGAAAAATAGGACTACATTCAAAGCAGCTGGGGCTACGGGAAAAAAGAACGATATTAATTTTTAAGGAAATCTTAATCGTAGACACCTATGTAGTTGGCCAAGATGAGGTTATATGGACTAACGACGTTTAATCACTGCTGTAAAACGTAAGTGGTTTCCAGTTTAAATATAGATATAAAGTAGGCGGAAAAACGAACTGGTTACTTTGCTTTTTTACCGTTAGTGGAAGTTCTATGAGATCCAAAAGAGGTATCTAAATGTCACATAAAGCCTTACTTCTTTAAATTTGACCAGAGAATACGTTCAGTTACGTAAATTATGCTACAATTCTGACCCTTGTGCACCTGAAAAGCTTTGAAAGTTTGAAACTATTAACTTCACATCAACTTTTCCTTGTTAGAAGAACTAGAATGGGCCATATAGCCTTTGTCTCATATCGTTCCACCTTCGCCTACTTTGAATGCCATGCATTGGCAGAGTGTCCCGTTAATTTTTGCAATAATATTGCTATAAGTAAATAATTATTTTTACTTTTAATTATTATAGTGCACAGAACGCGCCTGCAACGATGATGCGACAACGTATTTCCCCACTAAACTTTAGGCATACACGAGCTATCACTTAAATAGTCTTAACATTTTTCTTTCTTAAAAAAGCCTTGTCTGTGTCGCGTAAAGTGCCGTTGGTCTGGAGGCACTCCAAAGCCAATGAATTCTGCGGTGTTGGCCTACTTGATCGCCTGCAAATCACTAATCATCCGAGAGCTCAGGAGATGGTACGCAGTACCCGAAACATGAACATGCCAGCGATTGATCTAAAAGTATGAACATATACCAGACCGTTAACTGAAAGAAGCCATAACGAGCGTTCTTCGGAAGAACAGCGATAGGATTAGCAGCGCGGTTGAAGGTTGAATCATGTTGTGTGTCAACACTTTTGCCTGTCGCGACACTCAAAGAAGACTGCCGATGCCAAAAATGCAAATATTCATGTCCCAAATAGCGTACTCGACACTGCTTCAACAAGCTTCCTTTTAATTAATCAGTTTTCCGTAGCAGTATATATAGGTGTGGTCAAATTAATTTGTAACATAGCTTAGTTACTGGATCTTGCAGTCTTAGAGTTAATTAACTAACTTGGTAGTAAGTTAATGATAACAAGTAACTGCGCACAGTCAGTACTCTTATAGAATAACTAGTATATGTACAATCGTTACATTGTCTACAAATATCTGCTAGCCTATTTAAATGTCACACCTGATTTAACTTTGCTTAACTGTCGCTTCTGTATATTTTATAAGTGTTATCTCGAGCAAACCGTGCTAGTAGTACTAAGAGTATTATGAATAACATAAATTAGGGGTATTCGTTTTTTCTAAAAATAAAAAAAAACTCTTGGCAAGTAAACTGCATTGAGTAAGTGAAGGAGTGGAAAATTCACTTATGAGAAAATAACAAAATTGCATCACCCTTACCATAGAATGGGTTGCAAATAACAGACGATACTAACTTGAGTAACAAGTTAAACGTTGAAGGCAGTCAGGAACAATAACTTATGACATACTGAAATAGTAGCAGCGGTAATATGATTGAGTATTAGGAGGAGCTAAGGACATATGGGGCTATATGCATATTTTGGGACAACGCAAAACGTATTCATAAATACTATAGAAAATTCATTATAAAATAGAATGGTATTGCTATAACGTCAGCGTTTTTTTTTTCTTTAATAATTGTTACCCCTATCACACTTGGAACTCCTTTTACCAACCAAGAGCTCTGAGCTTCCTTTACGCTTCGTATTCGGTCACCGCAAACCACTAGAAACAAGCTAGAAAAATCAGTGCTCGAACCCTGATAATATCGGATTCAAACATAATAAAAAGGCTGTCTTAGTTTATAAACCCACAGTTTACATTTAGTGCTTCGCAGGAGACTTTTTTTTCGCAATATAAACAAAAAAAATCAAATAATTTGTTAACGCAGCATAATTAACGTTCTCCCTTGAAGTCTTCCGGAGGTGCAGTAAATTTATCAGTCAGCATTTTTAGCGATTGACTTATCCAAAACTTCGAAATAAGACTCCTCCCGTAATAGTTTTTTAAGGCGTGACGCAGGCATGTTGTGGTCTAATTTCGAACCCTAGCGTGGACAGACTAGTTTCACTTCGTGATAACTAGGAACCAGGCAGCCGTTTGATGGAACTATGTCTAGCCGCTATGATACCAGACGTAAAACTAGAAACATAGAAGAAAATGGAAAATTATTGTTTATTATAAAAATAAATAAGAACGATACTCTATGGGTAATGCGGTTACTATTTTTATTAACAGCGTTAGTCTTTTATGGAAAACAAACGCGATTCTGTTTGCAGGCATTAAATCTGCCTTTTTACATACCCATATGTCTTAGGTTCCTCCTGGGCTACTCCAGTATATAATATAACAAAAGCCAGTAAGGTAGCCAAGTTTTATAGAAATGCAGGAATAATGCATGATTTGACCTGGGCTGGTGCTAGCCGGTACATGCGATAATAAAACAAATCCGCGTTTATCAGAGATTATAATTGTAATCATAAAGATCACGATGTCAACAGTATTAAGCGCGTCTGATTGATAATAGATATGCTAGATGAAAATATCAATTAAATAAATGCAACGTCGTCTTTTTATACTAAATACGCCTGTAGCACCTAGTCACCGCATCATCTGATGTTCATTGATTCAGTATCGCAAGCGCGCCACATCCCAGTGAAGTAGAATCTCGATCACTACGATAATGTTACCGTTTTGCAATGGAGTAAGCTCGATATAGTAATGTTTAACTGGAACCTCATGAACTAAATTGGACTTTAGATAGAAAAAATGTACACTCTTGGCAAAGGCATCTGAATCCGCACGGATAATTTTGTACTCATTATTACAGTATTATAATAAATTAACTCATATTTTAAAAACCACCTCTGAGATAAGTGAGCTATCACCGAAATACCGCATTGCATTAGAAATTTTAGTTTAAAAAAAATCACCGCACCCAACGAAGTCCTCCTTCTGGCTTCAAGTACAATGTTTTTAGGCTAAGAGTCAGCGAAACGACAGTGCTTCGATCTTGCCATTTCTGCGCGTCACAAACCACGTCGTTTACCTTCCAGTGAAACATCTTAGGGATGAATCGTTTATGTTATGCTATAATTCTAAAAACTAGTTCCCCCAAATAACACCAAGCCGAAAAATGTGCATAAAGGAAAATATTCGCATCATCCCGTTGCTTGATACTCTGTCATGACAATTTTGTCGGATTAACTAATGCCTTACTATTAATTTGCAGGAAAATGGCACGAATAGTTGAGGTTGTGATGATTGCGATCTAAGCGCCAGCTAATTACTTTATGTTACGCTAACTTACGTGTAAGTTCCTATGTAATATTTCACCGTCAAATTTACTCTGGGTGTTTAAGAGTAACTAAAGAAAAGGATGATTCAAAATCAATATCTTTAACTTCCATCGCCCATCGTAAGTAATTGTTCCTATTAGCTAGATGGCTTCTACCTTAATTCTTTTGCTAAAAATGCCAGGAACCACTGGTTCAAGCGTGGTCATTGGCATACACCACAGAACAGACGTAAGTAAATATGTAAAGCTGCATAAGCTTTTATTCAATTATTCCCGCAGAAGTGTCCGCCTTTCACAAAACACCATCATTGATTTTTTTATTGATATAAATTACCTTCTGCTTCATCAATCAATTTCTTTAGAAACAGGTGGTCGAATCTGTCTGACGGTCACTGCACAGAATATCGTCTGCTTATCGATAAAACAGAGGCCAAAACAGCGCAGCATGACTGTGTCCCTCTAATGTATAATCTCGTCTTCGAGAAAATTCGGTTTATTCCTAACGTATTAATGCGTAGTTACACTGAATCTAAACTTTAAATGCTCGGAAAACAAATAATAGGCGTACGGATAGATTTATTTATTTACATAAGTATAACTTACTTGAAGACGCTATTTCAGGAAGCATTTAATATGCATTATTACAATGGTACGCCCAGCTGGCTTTTTTTTTTTAAACAATGCGGGGACTCTTGGTGTAGGCACCTCACGGATTTCGCTGCTGACAAATCCTCATTTATCTTTATTTCCTTTTAGTTTTCCTTTTACCATTTCGGAGGCAATGAATAGGGTTGATATTAATAGTGATTGAAAAAACAAACAGATTACGTGATCTGTGGGAAAAAATTTGGAGAACCTCCGCGGCTTAATTGTTCGCAGCCGATCTACGCTGAAAGATATCGCTTCTTATATAATCCTAGATTTAATTTCAATCGAATCACAAAGTCTAATAACAAAAAGGATGTTCTAAAGTTAAAAACAATTTTTCAAAGTCTATAAGAAATGAGTAAAATGACTTAAGCCCCTAGCTAAGATCAACTCTATCTAAAGAACTATGTGGACCAACAACTTCACAAACAGCTCAATGCAATTTGTTTAGAAACGACATACTAATCAACTTTATTAATGACAGTATCAGTGACACGCTCACTCTTTTACAGTAGCATAACTACGCGTTGTTTTATCGGCTGAACATGGGCGCTGAATGTTGATCGTCTGTATTTAAAGATTTGATCTGTTCTGATAGGTCGTTCAACGACTGGTTTTTAAGCAAACGTGTGTTCTTTAGGTGATGGCTGATGTGGACTCGATACATGCACAGCGACAAGAGACTGACAGAGCTTGCTGATGAAAGTAAATACTGCTGGTCGACGAAACAGAGACAAAAGGGATGGACATCGTTGACTTAAAGGTGACTTTTGCTTGAAATCATGATAATGACATGGGCTTCATCAGCTCTGAGCATACGCTTCTAATAATTCAGTATACAGGTGGATCGTTATATTTGAATTTTATGACAATATCGGACACTGACAAGTAGAGTAGGTTATTTCTGAGCTTCCATATTTTCCAGAACCATCCCTTTGTTCAAGCTCGAAAAAATATCTGTTTCCAGGAAAGTTCAACCTTAAGACAGTTACATCGGCGCCGAACGACTCGTAAGTCCTAAGACATTCTCTAAACAGTCGTCTATCCATAAAGGTGTAACACCTCATAAAGCAAACTTGTCAGTGACCTACGATGGACTACCATTGCACATCTAGGCATGAACTGCCTGGTATCCCCTGTAGAATTTTTCAAATCCGTTCATCAACTTAATTATACTTTCGTTAGGAACATTACGTTTTCTTCGGCCCGCCACCGTTGCTGTGGTAACAGCTTGATTCAACGGAAAACCAATTGGGGCAGAGAATTGCGTCAATGAAGCCATTAGCGCCCCTGAAAATTGAAATATGCTAGCATGATTATTACTATTATATATATATATATATATAGTGGGATTACTATTGTGTTATGCTGTTGAACGGCCGATGAGCTGTAGGGTTTGAACGCTCTAGTAACGTTACAACAATCGGGAAGTGCGGCTTTCATTTAATAGGATATTGCAAAGGATGCATACATATAATATAGGCTATAAATTAATCGTCCGTTTACCAACGAAAATGACGTGACGGGACCCCTCGAAATGTGTCAACCGGAACCAATTATTGCTAAAGAATGTAAAACACCTATTTTTATATATAGATCCGTCATAAATCAATGGAGATACTTTCTACTTATCCTACATCATGCAATCTAAATGAGTTAAATTTGTATTTGAATCGACCAACACTATTACTTCCATTCGTTTCGCCACTCCGATCACGATTTCCGAAGGGAATTGCTTAACAAGGCGAGTATTTTTTAATGGCTAAAGTTATAACGAAGTAAAGGTTGCTTACAGATTAGGGGGTGACGTTCGATTTCATCAAAGTTTAGGAACAATTAAATTTTCTATCACAGGCAGCCTAATCAACGATGGCCTGTAGCTGTAATTGAGAAATTATCCGAGTAAAAATGTTTCTTGGATTAACAGACGTTTCCTACTCCAGCACTGCCCTTGTTGAATGAATTAAAGACCTCAATGTCAAAGTGCCTCATGCAAATGTAAATGGTTCCAATTCTCGATATGACATGCCTATATTGGCTGCTTCTTGACTAAAGCTACGATATATTTAGTCGAGCTAGTTAGAAGAAAGTGCGCATCTATTGCTCCCCTAAAGGTATCCTGACTAGAAAGTACATCAAGATAATGGAAATTTTCTCAATACATTAATAAAATAAAGATTCTTTGCTCAGTTCAACTATCTACTCACCCAGTACAGGTAGAAATATAACGGCAAACCCAATTAAGGCAAGAATTGGCAGAAAATCAGTTCCAAACCCGCGATCGATCAGGTCATGGCCACCGTATCCGCCGTAAAAGCTGCGCGGTTGAGGGGCAGTTCCAGCTGTCTTAGACGACTTGATACCAGCCGCTGGTGACGAGGAGACCGTTTTAGCTAATTTAGATCCCGACTGTAATGAACTCATCGAAGTGTTCGACGCAGCTAACGCTAGCGAATGGTTTATAGACAGATACCAAAAAATCAGCATGAGGAAAAAACCCACGTTGCGAACGAGAGAACGCGCCAGTACCATCGTGGACCAAAGATGTACAAAACTACTGAAATAAACAAAAGAAAACATCACACGGTACGCGATGATCTGTAGTATAACAAATTATGAAAATTATTTATAATTTTCATAATAATAACTCGATGTCTGATGAGATAAAGAGCCAATCAAGGCTCACAGTTTTACAACCCATTTTAGATTGCGTTCCGATATTTAGTTATTTTTTTTTTCGCTATTGCAATGTTTTCATTTAATTATTTATAGACTAGAAATAATAGTGTCCAGTAATTTTTCACGATTTTAGTAACGAACACAAAGCACATTTGCACCGTACTCCGTCGCTCGAGTTCGAGTCGTGCGACAAGTTCATCATAATACTGACATCGTTTGCAGCTTCAACTTCAACTCGAACTTTATCAGACAAGTAACTCCCAACAGTGGTCTATCGCTAATTGAACTGCTAATCCAAGCGAAGTCGAATGATGCTTCCTCTTTGCTTGTTACTCGTGGTGTATTCCGTAATTTGGTAGGCGTTGAACTTCGGTTCTTCACCACACGCACGTTTCGCCTATTAACGCAAACACTGCCTTAATCATACACGCACAGAGGACACAACAACGAAGGGTACACATGTCTCCGCCGGTGTTTTACAGGATGCTTATATTGTCTGTCATCTGAACCTCGCGACACTCTTCAATAACTCGCCCTCAGCGCCATGATCACCCTCTCTCAAACATCGTGAGATGCGAGACCTGACCGAATTCACAAATATTCCGACTCAATGGTAAAACTATGGTAAAAGCAGGATCTTCATGCGACGGACTGATCTTGTAACTTCTGCCCCCTCCCGCCGACCTCTTACACACCAGCAGTTCTCGAGGGGGTAAAGGCGGGGGCGAAATTGATGCTGTTTTACCAAACTGTTGCGAACGCTCTATATGCGCGCACACCCACGTTTCTATGACTGTATCAATGTGTGTGAGTGTCAATATGTGCCAGCAACTGGCCAATAGTCCTCGCGGTTGGCTAGTGCAAAATGATTGATGCAAGCACATTTCTAGTGGCAATACCTGTTGCATTTAGATAATATGATCACCCTATGGGGCAAGGGGCAACCAGTATAACGCCCTGTTGCCCTCCGATCGGCGTACCGTTTTATTAGTAGCGTTCTTCATTGCTATAGTTTGTTACTGATCACAGTGGCGACGTTGCGCTTGGTGTCATTGTCGTAACTCTTATTGGTGCAGTGCCCCAAATGTCGTTTGAGCTGTTTGCCCCAAACGAAAATCGAGAATGGCAGCTCGGCGGAAGGGCAGGGCGGGGCATTGGTCGTGGGATGATGATATACTTGAGAAATAGACGAAGTGAAATAGCTATGTATAGAGCAGAAGAACTTATTGCGATTCGCAGTAACAACAAGAACAGCTGTTACAACAACAAACGGTTGCGTGACAGTATTCAACACTATCACAAAGAAAAGAAATCATCTCTACATTATTACGCTCCTTGAGCACAAAAAGCTCTTCACTTGCTTCTTTTCGCGTCGATCCTTACCTCGGGGCTGCCACTGCACCCACTCTGATTGCGGCCGCATAGGTGACCCTTGTGTCACGTCTACCGCCCCGCGGGAGGAACGAACGGCGTTTTATAGTGTAAGACCCGAGAACTTCGGCAATAGGCCCTTGAGCGGCATTGCCGACTATAGAGTAGCTTGCCAGCATAATAGAAACGTTTAGTTCATTCCTATCGTTAAAATTCATAACGGCCACCTATTGTGCCATGGTTTCAAGTCTTTGCCACGAGCGTCACGACCAGCGTAGCTGCCGATCCCGCACATCCGCTCACGAAAACTGCAACGACATAAAAACAAGTGCGTCACGCTAAGTCCGCTGTCCTCCTTCTTTCTTGCAGGTTTGCCCGTTTTCACCGTTTGGTGTCGCCTTAGGGACCACCGAAGCGCGAAGGTGCGGTCAGCGCTGAGGATGGATTCGTCTTATTTACTTAGGGTATCGACTCCGCTATCTGCGATCGTAAGCAAAGGCGAAAAGAGCCGAAGTTAAAAGTGTTTGACAGGCATCGCCAATAGCGAAACGGCTAGTTTTGCGAGCCCAAACGAGCAAACGAGTGCGATCATCTCTATCAAGAAGAGCAAGCGGCAGAAGTCGCCAAAACGAGTGTTGTAATAAGCTACGAAGGCGAGTACAAATTGGGTACTATTATCAGCTTGTGACGGCGCCAATCTGCTCACCGATAGCAGTGGTATATGCCCTCAGCGATTAACCAGACCATTAACTATAAGCAATTTGAACGTGCTGTCTCTTATAAACCTTTAGGCACGAAATAATCGTCCAACCAATCGATAACAAAAACATGTCTTAGGCATAGATACCTTTCAATCAATACCAATCGTTAATGTATACTGAAGGTGCTCAAGGTCAAAACATTATATACCATAATATAATAATATATAATAACATTATCAGTGTAATGTAGTTCATCGCTAAGTAACTTACATATATTATTACATATATGAAACAATATATTTTTCATTAGATCGAGTAGAAGCAAGTAATATTTACGCACTGCTTGCAGAATTAGGCATGTTAACGAGATTTGACTCGGCTAAAGTAAAAATAATACGTGAACTCAATGAAAAAAATACAATATCAATAATTAATCAAAAGATCTCATAGTTCCGATGTTTCAGAAGCTGGTCTCACAAACTTCCGATTTTGTGTGATGCCTTTTTCAAATAACTGTTCCATGTACCAAATCGGCAGGTGGGGTTCCACATATGTTTTCGACTTAATGCTGATAAAGCGGATTGAAATGATCTTCTTCGATCTGGCTTGACCGATGAGCAATTTGAAGGTTTTACTAATAGCAGTAAAAAGACCGGACCAGCTGTTACGTTCTTCTAGTTACTGTATGAAAATAGAAATATTGTTGCATTTATATTGTATTCAATTCCACTATTAGGAACTCTACCTTTTATGTTTCAATTTTTACGTCCGGCGTCGCTGTTAGGCATAATTCCGTCAGACAATTAGCCCCCAGAACGAAACAAACAGTCTGTTTATGCCTGGGTTTGAAGCTCGATTACAGGCGTTAAGACTAAAGGGAAAATACGATACTCACTAAGCTATCACAAGAAGCCTCCTTAGAAATTCCTAAGTGTCTTGGCACAAGTTACTAACTCTCGTTGGAACGGAGTAAAAAGAAAAAGCTTGATTAAATGAAAAATCGGAATTAATAGAAATAGCGATTAAGTAAGAAACTGATGAGTTTTTCACTCTAAATTATATACATTACTTTAGCCGTAGCCTTTTCAGGTTTATTTATTTCCTGAACAGAAATAGCACCACAGATGTAAATTAAATAGCGTTCAAACTTAAAAAGTGTTGATTATTAATCAATATCCTCAACACCATATCAATGACCTCACATTTATCCAAGCAGACGGAGTCAATCAGATCTTTTATTTCCGGAAAATACAGATCGGTACTATCTTTACCGCAAAAGCATGTGTAGACGTATTAGTTGGTTTAAGCCCCGCCTTTAACCTTTACGACACGACAAAAATCATTGAGTAAAGGAACATAAAAGCCAAGTGTCTTACAAAGAAATTAAAAATATATTTTCATTGTTATTCCTGCTTTTTGTTGGTAGTTAGTTATTTAGCGTTTCTCGTAAATAAAGCTATGTTAAATGCAGATACGAGTAGAAATAAAGTTCATCTTACGAAGATTAACTTGTTTTTTTTTACTCTACCTTGTCTTTTAGTATACACCAAGTTACTGGGTATGAAATCATTTTGGGGGTTCGCGGAGAACTGCCGACAAGTTCTAACAGTAACTTTGTGTAATTATAAATGCAGTATGATATCTGAGCTGAGGGCCGGTAAGCCTACTTTTTTCTGGGCGTCGATAACGTCAAATACGATGTAAAGGGTTAGTTGTGTTCTAACGTAACATAGCCATAGGCCTACGAATAGTGATAGCGAGATATCAACGTTTTTAATGAGTTCTTCCACAACGGTGGCATATTTTAGTGCACCGTACGCAATAAATAAATAACTAATGATTTTCAACAATCGTTCCAAACTAAGAATAGCTTGTTTGGAGATTTTGACACATTTATACGAAGCGAGAACATAAGGCACAAAGAGAAACATCTATCGTTTAATGGGATCAAAGGATCAGAACCGTTTCTGTCAAAAGCAAGCATCTGCAATATACCACGGTAAAATAAATTTGTTCCCACAACAAGCGACGTAATAAGACGAATGATCAGTGGATTTAGTATCATTCCGTTATTCTATTAGTGGGTGGCACTTAAATGCTAACCCAAAACGTCGGTGAGTAGCGGTTGATTGGCGCTGACCAAGCGTGTAACGTAACTCGGCATCAACTGAAACTAAGCCGGGAACATAAGCCATTGAAGGATCCGACAATGTTCAACGCTAGCCAACGAGAAAGAACGCCAGGTGCTGTAACTAGATTACAACGCAACAGGTTGTTCCACTAGGACTCAGCCCAATGTGAAGTCGAACATCGACAAAAACAAGCTTGCCTCATAATAACTAACCCCTATCGACTAAAGCAAGGAATTTAGATACATATATTGCCGTTAATGGCGTTGATGTTAAATTATATGCACATTTAGCGAACTAAAATATTAGAAATGTAAAAATTATTAGCATAGTATACTAGATTGAGAGCTATAGCGAACCGCAATTGTTTACAAAAGTTCTTGACAAACATGTTGGAACACCAGTATTGCGTGAGTAGTAGGACGCTGCATGGCAACATTATATCAAGGAGGTAAGTATGTAAAGGTTATATCTAACTAGTCCACGAACTCCTCGTTTAAAGCCTTCGGAATGTAATGTCCTAAGAGGCCTTTCCTGAGACACAATCCGCCGTACATTCCAAGATAGGTTTCTAACACGAGAAAAGCAACATGTTCACTTTCGGTGGCTTTTTGGGAGACAGTTGCGCAGCAGCAAATCACACTGGCACGAAAGCACAGAATATTCGTGGTCTTTTGTTAGCCCGTGGGCTTCTTTTTTCGGTGGGACGCACACCGGGCAAAAGTCACGATCGCAACAACAGAGATCCGTTTGGGTGGCGGAACTAAGAAAAGTATAATTAGGCGCAATATTCCCCGGTCCACACCATAACGTGCCTGTCGAAGCATCAAATAGCATTTCGATATAAAAAAAAATTAATAGCAAACGAAATACGGTGTCTGACTTTTTCAATCGCTTCTCGAAAACAACTGCATTTACTGGTTCGACAACAATGAAGTACTTACTTGCAGTATGCTATGGAAATAGGCAATACCTATAGCTTCAATAGAATTCGACAACCCATATTATCTCACCTAAGGCAATTCCGTACTCGAGCAGGTTTACCACCTGCTGATAGCTACTCTGACACAGAACATTTTGTCCTACTTGTCCACAGAGAATGACCCAGTTACTCATTATCATATCATCAATTTTGAACCGTTGCGGAAAGAAGAAGAAAGAAAGGAAGCTTTAGGACTCTGTAAGAAGTACGGAGAG